GGCAGTTTTTGGAGAAATCTCTTGAGTACAAGCTTTTCACTCCTCAGTGTTGGTTTTTTCATAGGGAAACAAATTCATTCAACCTATGACCACACAGAAATCTTCTGCATGACTTTACTCGTGAAATTCACCCTTCTTCACAGTAGACTGTTGAACAAGACAATTACTTTTAACCATATTCAGCTTGGTAATTCCTCTGTTTTCTTAAAACAAAAAACGGCATTCAAATTCACCTGGACCGGGCTCATTTTATCTCAATCTCTAGATGGTATCATCAAAAGCACAAGGCTGCTGTTACACAAGGATTTTACAAATTGTTTAAAGCAATCAATTTGGATTTGCACTCCTCTCTCTTCTTTGACTTCTGGCCTCTCAGTCAAGGGGAATCTAAATTCACTGTGTAAGATAAACCTTTTCCAACAATTCGTGAGCAAAACTGAAAAGTTAAAAACACCATGGCAAACAGTAGATACTGACATCTTTGTCAGATAATATGTTACATGAACTATGATTTCCAAGTAAACCATCTGAAGGTTGTATAATAAACTCTGGAATTTCTTCAAGTGTTTGCCTTCTCAAGAAAGAGAACTAGATTTATCCATTACCTATAATAGTCTCCTTTTCTTTTCCCACTAAAAAGGCTTCATATACAACTGAGAAGAAGAACCGTCTAAGTCTTAATGAAGTCTTAAGTTCAAATCACGTTATTTTCTCTCCTAAGTGAAGCACTACACCATATGCTAACATCTATCTGCTTCAAAATTGAGCCATACAGACACATACCAAATAACTCAAAAACCGCTTTCTTCTTTCCAAGATATTTTAACTCACATATGTGTCATATTCCCTTATCTAGAAAACACAAAATAGAGCCCCATGTGTTGGCAACATCACTATCTCCCCACAGAAGGATGCTCAGATGAGAGTGGCCCAAGAGAATTCTAAAAACCTTTTGACATGGTCTTACTTATTTAGGGTCAGGCAAAACAGGAAAAGCACAAAGAAAAAAATGTTTCCTCTCCACAAACCCAAAAATGTTTGGGTTTTTATCTATTTCTTCTGACTATATCCAACAACCCTTTCCTAAAAAGGAAGCTTAAAAGCATTAATTTAGGTTGTATCTGCCTAAGGCACTTCCCAATATTTTTTCTGTTATCTTAATTATTCACTTGAGCTTTATTCCTTTTGGCTTCACTTCCTCAGTATAACATACTGTATACACAAATGAGCACTGTTTTGGTTTCTTTTTTCAGGTGAAATAGTGAGTGATTGGGGCACATTATATACTCCTATTTGTGCATGCTAGAAACTCCTCACAAACATATTCAAAGTTACTTAAGTGTATTTGTAAGTGTGTGTGTATATATATACACAGACACACGTATATAGAAAAATAGACATTACTGACAACCTCTCAATAGCAAGAAAACAAAACCTAAAAATTTATTGCTGGTTTACTATTTCTGAAAAAGGGAATATTTTTATACTGTCACTTACCAATTCTTCTACCAAAGACTCTGTTTTGCATTAGCTTTTATCAACATATTCTGTCAATGCTGCAGATGGAATTACTGTCTGTGATGTCTCAAGTAATGTGAAAAAAAATTTTTAAGTAGTCACGTTAACTGTAGCCTATCTGTAAACCAGCAGACAGTAAGAGTGGTTAACACCACTGAAATCACTTTTTCAATAACTTCCCTGAAAACCAAACAGTACATGTTGCATTGTCACAGTGAATTGCAAAACTTCCCCCTTGTTACACACGGAGTGAAAAGTTCCACAGTCAAGTCAATAACACATTACAGTGCAGGCATTTTAATGTGCAACCGTGATTTATACACATCCACTGAACAACCATTATATATAAGGCCAAAATTTACTTCAGAGGAAGAAAGTTGTGTGCCTGCTCTCTCCTTTCCAGAAACAGTGGCTTTGAGCTGCTTTCTGAGTTTATGTCCATGGTCCTACACAGGCATAATCAACAGACCACAGTAACAGAAAAGCTACTAATTGATGATTCAACATTAACCAATTGCAAACCCAATTGCAAACCAACCCAACGAATACAGTCCTATCTTTCCCCACTCATCAGGAAGCAGTCTTATTAAAACAAAAATTTGTTAATTAAGCTGCTACTCCTGGCTAGTTCCTGCAATTACCTATAAAAAGGTGACTTCTTGAACAACATGTAATATAGAAAGAAAATTACCACCCAACAAACTTAGCTTGATCACCAGTCAAATCCTGAATTTAAGAATTCTCAGATGATTCCCATACCACCATTTCTAACAATAACAATAAAGATATTTTTTCAACAATCTTTCCTCAAATTGAATTTCCTAGAAAAAGGTTACCGTTGAGAATACTTCTAGCCAAGGTAAAAACTTGCATATTCATGTGTCAATTACAAACTATGGGATGAGGATACAGAGGCTGAGCTTATAATGCTTAAGAAGATATAGACGTGGTCTTAATAAGTAGGTGCTAAAAATTTTCCTTCAGCAACACTAAATGAAGTTGCAAGTTAAAACAGTGTAATGAAACAGAAGTGACTATTTAAAACAAATGCACACAACAGTAACTTCCTGAAAACAGAATAAAGCATTTAAAATTCAGTACTCTTCAAACCTACCAATAAAATACGGGGTTAAGAGCCTACCAATAAAATATAGGAAAAGAGAACTGGTCAGCAGATTATTAGCTGGACCTCCTGAAAGATGTTCAACTTCTTCTCAAAACATCATTGACACAAAAAGAAAATGCTGAACAACAAAAATTAGCTGAGAAAAATACAAAACAGCAATAACGCTTCCACGCTGTGACTGACAGTCAGTATACACAACATCTGCAAAACAGGTAAGCCATGATCTTTGCAAAATATTTAGTACCACAGAAAAAAGTTACTGGATGGTAGAAGAAAGTTACACTGAAACTATACAAACATGATGAATGAAGCATATCCATGCATTACTGATGTTCAGGATACAGCTGTGGTGGGGAGGGAAAAAAAAAAAGCGAGCATTCAGATGGTTTAGTTTGCTTTGGCTCCAGAAGAGACCCTTTTCAGTTCAGTCTTTGCCTCAAGGAAAGAAGAGCTGGCTGGCTCCTCTCACATGCTATTGCTCGTAAGGGTGAACATTTTTCAGTCATGTAGCTCAATGTGGCAAAATCAAATCCTTCTCTGGAGTTACTGGGAGAGGGCAGGGACAATAACCTAAAAATTAGGTCAAGTCTGATTCCCAGAACTTCTCTCTACTTGCAGGCTCATAGTATCATACTAAATCTCTTTTACTTAAAACAATTAAGGAAACATTGCTCAGGACTCAATTAGCATTGCAGAGAAAAAGAAAATATTTTACTGATTAATAAAATCCCACAATTATGTTAATTAATAGATAACCTAGTGATATGGTGAGAGATGGCTCTGAATTCCTTACTGACTTTGAAAGAAACTCCACAATACAGCAGGAGCCTGAAGTTGAAGAGCAACCCTGCAACAGGCTACAATCCTCAAGTGCAAAAAATATGACTGTAATACGGCAACTCTGAAAACTGCCACAGCAGTTGAGAGGGAAGCTATAGCCAAAGAATTTTTTGGGCCTCCTAGCAACATTCTTTGCTGTCATCAGACACCACAGGTGATGTTGCTAAAAGCTGGTGCCTGTGCCTGAACAAGTAGGGGCAAGAAGAAAGAGTGTGAAAATCCTCTTCCTGATTAGTCATGATCTGCCTGATGCACAATCATCAGGATGGAAAGAAAAGTGTGATGAGGACAACAGAAAATAGTTAATTTGACAACAGCAATAATATCATACGTTGACTGCCTTTTAACTGGTAGTTCTTTTACTACTCTGTTAGTATTTTCCCCTATCAGCATGAAATGCCACATATATATACATACACAAAAAGACATAGTTATGTACTTCATAAATTGCATGCTATTTCTAGAGAATTTATTATACTCCATCAGGACTTGAGATGAAACTCTTATCCTCTTTGTTGGAAAAATCAATATAGCACACTCTTCAAACTTTGTTTTCTCACCTATTGTTATGAAACTTTTGAATGAAACTAAGAGTTTAAGAGTTTTAAATGTGATCTACTTTTTTAAAAGAGTAACTTCAGTTACGATCAGAGCATAAGACCAGTTTCTGCCACTCATTTTTATTAATAAGGTAATTACAACAACCACACTTGTTATCATGAAATCAACTTTTCTAAATCTCTCCATTGCATTCAGAATACTTGGAACTGTGCTGATACAGTGTTGGTATAGATACTTTATGACACTTAATACATTCAATATTAACATAATTTAATTAAGACTTAAATCCCCTGCACTTTTCCTGCATATTGGTTTGCTGGTTATTGAAACTTTATGTTACAACAACTACTGACGAATTTAGTTATAACAACACAGATAGATAATTTAACTTTTTTCTCTACAAAAATATTATTCTTGCAACACTTCTGAGAAAAAATGATTCCTAAAACACATAATCAAAAAAATTTAGTCTGCTGTTTTCCTGTAACACTTTAAGATTTGTATTTGTCCAAAAATTTAAGCCCTAGCTACATGTTTGAGTAGATGTAAGGTTAATTGATTATGATGAGGTCAAAGCACATTGATATCTACTCTAAGTCTATTCAAGCACCATCCTAGAGAGAGCCTTTCTGCTGCTGCATAAAAGCAGGAAATTATTCTCCTCAACTGATTGTGTCTGCCAAGCAAGCACACACACCAGTAGCTGGATATAAGACAGTCTTCATTTCCACAGGGATTCAGGTTTAAATTCAGTGAGTTTAAACTAAATTTTTAGAAAAAAAAATTTAGCAGTGATGATTGTCCTCTTCTATTTTTGGTAATGAGCTAGCATGAAGGATTTTCCTAAGTATAAAAAATGGTCTTGCTTTAAAAGCCGCTATCTTTTAGAGGCTCAGTAGTTAAAATTGATGGAAGCCTTTGTGTATTTGTAATTTATCTGCTTTTAAATACTTACAGTGAAAAATACGGAAATCAATGTATGGATGAGAACCTCTTCTCTCTGTTTCAAATCCTGCCCGACTTCTTACTCGCACATCTCCTAGAAACAGGGTCAAGAGTGAAATAAAAGTGTGGAAGAGTGGCAGAGATAAAATGCAAATGAACATAGCCTGGAGGGGTAAAGATTCATGTACTTAATGGAGGAGAGTAATTCAAACAATAGGCCTACTTCAATGCTTTTTGTTTTAAAGGTGGAATTCAAAACAAAGTTTGAAGACTTGTTAAACATGCAATCACATGCTTTCTCCTCAAAATCTCTCCTGCCTAAGCATACGTTGCCAGAAGCATGTGATAAGCATTCAGATGAAATTAGGAAGAGCTTGCTACACCAGTATGGTAAAAATGCACCTTAATATGACAGAAAACACAAACATTTAAAAGTTGATTTGTTCCTCAGTAACACACATAAAACGATAACATTTTATAAAATACAAAAAAGATTCAACTTTTAGAAATGGTAGCTTTTAGCAAATAAGCTAGTTAAAATATGGTTTTATTTTACATAATAGAATATTTTCCCACTAGCATTTACTTACTTGTGCTCAGCTGTTTGAATATTACACAAGAGCCTATTAAAATACCAAAACTCAGTATTAAAATTTTATCAAACTATTTGGCACTGTAATTAGCTTCAACCTGAATCTTTTAGCATGCTAGTTGATTTCCATTTTACCAACTGAAAGCTGATCAGTATTCTTTCATTAGGTACTTGTATGCATTAATATAAGTAGTTCACTTGGATTAAAAGCTTTCACTTAAAATCCTTTTGCAATTACAAATTTGGACAAATCTTTGTGGATCAAATGCATAGTGTTTCCCTCCTCAAATCCTAACAAAAAGTTAAATTGAAGATGCACAAATGTTCTGGTTTCTAATTATGAAAATCCTTCAAGTGTAGTATTCTCCTCACCTCAAACACAGCGCTTTTTATATAAATCCAAAATAAGTAATTAACAAAAGCAACTATGATTGAGTTTATAAAAACAAAATAAAAATAAAGCTATTTAATTTCCAGCAAGTAATAGACACCTTGAAAGTATTTTTCCTTCCTTTTCTTTTCCAACCTGCTAATCTGTAATGCTGAAGCAGGCAACTTGCCAGAAAATAGCTAAAGATACTGACTTAAGCTTTTAATGCTCAACAGGCATCTTTGTAGAGATACATGTCTATAAACACTGACATACCTATAGTGATACACTTGACATGAATGTTATCTTGTGAACCATGCTGGAAGGACCACAAAAAGGTAAGGAGGTCCAGGGCTCCCCAAATACTGGGTGTAAAATTTGTATAACAGCAAAAATATACTAAATACATGTGCCTTTCAGTAATTAGCCCTTTTATTTTTTGAAACTGAAAACCTTAAATGAGCTGCAAGGGAAAGTAACCTGACAATATATTACTTAAAAATGCTTCAAGCATTCATTTGAACAGAGTGCAAGAGTCTTGTCTCCTTCCTGGCAATACAGAGGCAGCAAATTGTAGAAGTCTTCTGTTAGGCAAAAGCAACTGGTGAATTTTATTTACAAAATAAATTAATGAAAAGGAAAAAGAGAGGAAACTTTGAGAGAGAGGAGGCGAATGCATTAGTAGCTGTGTATGAAAACATCAGTTTACACGGAGGCAAATTCAACTTTCATTACCTTTCACTCATTTATCTGGGTAATCAGGCATAGCTACAGCTGCGTGAATGAGTTCACCAGCTGAATTAAAAGAAAAAAGACTTTTTTAGTTGAGCTAATTTTTTACAGAAAATGTTATAACAGATTTTGTGAATTATATTTGGTTTTCAAGGCAGTTCTTTACTTTCAAAATTTACAAACCACAAAATGAATCAACAAATAGTTTCAGTCAATGTACAACTAGGTTTTGACAAACAATTTACTTGTTTTAAGTATCAAGAATAGGAAAAGTTCACAGAAAAATACCTGAAGACCAACATGGAATTCTGCAAACAAAAAACCAAGCAGGTTCATCTGATAAATGATGTCCAGAAAATTTCTCTCTGCTTTGTTCTTTTTTATTTACTAGTACCTTGCCTAACAGCATGGACAGAATAAGCATCCCTTTTACCCTTGAAATGCCTCCAGTGTTGAGGATTTTGAGTAGGAAAACATGAAAAACTGTCTACAAGTGAAATGCAGAAGTGCAACTAACTACATTGCTTTTAACAGGAATTACTAGAACATCTATTCACAGGAATATTTAGCCAAAAGAAGAAATTATATATTATAAATGCACATCACAAAGTAGCAAAAAGGCAACTGTAATAAGATACAGCTAAAATGAGGGTATTTAGTTGCCTACATACGAAATGAGAAATTCCCAGCAAGGAAAGCAAAATATTTTCATTAAATAGTTGTTAAACAAAATTCTCTCTCCTTAATCATGGTAGAAGAGGATATTGTTTTAAAAATAAAGATTTCAACAATGGATTAATTACTTAGAATACAATTGTATTCATTCTGGAAAAACATATCACTTCTACAGGACTGGAAGCAAGCAAAGTAAAAAATTCTATTGCACCAAAACAAAGGCAGAAAAGCAGTCTCCATTACCATTGTACAGGACTGCTGGATTTTTGAAGATTTCAGACAACAAATGTGCTTGAAAAATACTGGTACAAGTGGAATTTGATGATAGCATTTTTCCATCTGAAGTTTCTAAGTATATGGAAGCAGAAAAAGGAATAGCATCTAACTGGCTACATATCATGAGATTATGTGCCATTAGCACAGTGAAACTGATCTCTACTGCATAGGTATAGTTAGTCCCAAAACATCCAGGAATATTGGACATGCATTCACTGTTCAGTTAGTGTAAACTGCAAAGATTAATAGACCACAAACCCTTGTGCTTTCACACAACATAATGTATTTGCGTCGATTTGCTTGGGAAATCCTGTGCAAGTGTTTTGTAGCCCTGTCACTCAAATTATGAAGAATTTAATTTTATCTTCATAGGTAACTTTAAGAAAAGGCACAAGACATCTCAAATTTAAGATCACTTTTATCCCACAAAAGGACACCGTTACATAATTCCTGCAAACAGCAACAGATGTCCAGCCTCAGAGCCAATCACTATTACCGTAGTTGAAAGACAATTTAAATTCAACACCTAAACCAAAAGAACTTTTGAATAATTTTCATTTATTTAGACCTTTACAAGTATATCAAAACGGTTATAAAATCTTTTTAAACAATGAGATCACACAGTCTGCTCATAGGTATATTTCCTTGGGGGGAGCACAGAAGTGATAGCAACCTGACTGACAGCTTTTATCTTAGTTTCCCTTCTTTGGCCACTTTTAGCCACTCTGAAAAGACTCCTTTGTTACCTTAAGGGAACACATTCAAGTCCAGCATCTTAATGATAGTGGACTTCCAGGAACAATTTTTTTCCCTCTTTGAGAATTTCTGTTATTCCAAAGAATCAAGAAGAAGATTTAAAAGTGTGAGGCCTTCCTTTCAAAACCTGATTTTGTGCACAAAAATGACAAAATATCTGATGGCTGAGTATTCAGCTACATTTTTTTCCAGAATAGTTCTACATGATCAGGATTGCTTGCATTTTTAAGACAAAGGTCATACAGGCAGAAACTCAATTGAAGACTAAATAAATCATGGAAGAATGAATCTAAGTGGGAGGTTTGCAGCTACAACTGAAAACAGAAAAGGAATCAGGGCTGTAACAAAACTTACCTTGAAAGAGATCGCTTAGTTCCTGCCCCTCTCTCAGATTCCTGCTTACAGGGCAAGGACAGCTCTGATACTTACGAGGCAGCTGAAATGCCACAGCTGACATCCCTGTGCGTTAAGGTTACACAGCACATACTTCGTGTTACCCTAACACTCCAGTGTGGCACAGTAACAATGCAGCAGCTGCTTGGGGAGCTGAGGCCTTTTGGAGCAGGGGCAGAAACCTCAGAGATCACGGAGGACAGCTGGGAGCAGAAATTACGACAGCCACCTCAAGGTAAAGCACCCAAGCCAAAGCCATGAAGTTCTGAAGAGCAGGATTTCCAGACAGAATTACTAGCTTCACAGAGTAAAGTTCCTATTAAATTTATTGAAGAAACAGATGATAGGTCAGCTGAATATGCCAGAATTAAAGCAAACTGAATACGACAGGAGAAGAGCGTGCATCACACAGTAGCTTTCCTCCAACGTCTCTAAAGGAGAGTAAAATCTCTCTAAGGAGCATAAAATGCTCCAGTTTTAGTTGAGAGGTGCACACTCACCAATACAAGCAGTCAGTGCCCCATACTTTCTACTTCATGCACAGCAACAAAACTTTCAGGCAATAGAAACAGCAACAAGAAGAAACCAGAAAAGCAAATAAGAGAAAAAAAAATCAAGGAAGTATCAAGATTACACAGAAGCACTTACAAGATATTTTGAGAATTCCTCATAGTTGCTGAGAAAAGTAGCTGAGGGGTGTAGTAGCTGAGGTGATGCAGATGTATTAGCCTTTCCAAGGTCTTAAAAGAAAAATTCTACAATGCTGCATCTGTATCTATATTTTAAAATAGTAAATAAGCCACTCGGGAGTGGCTTAGTGTATATTTTGGGAATGGGGTATGACACATGAGTCATTACAGTCAACCCTGTTTGTTTATATTGACACACTGATGAAGACAGTTAGGAGTTAGTTGTTTATTTTTTGTAGCCCTAAAATTTGATCTTTTAAGTGGAACCTGGCAACACTGCTATACCACAGGAATTCCAATTTACTTGGTGTAAATTAATTTCCATTGGATTCCCATTGGAACAGCTTAAAAACATCAAATGAAGCAACTTTACAGCCAGCACAGTTAAACAGAGGAAGAGGGAGGTATCCTAGATACCCTTAGTTTTATATTTTTGGTCTGCTAAAATAAACATCTCATCAAGGTATATTTTATTAGAAGATATACTCTGTATGGAATAAAAACCAAGAAAGTAAAAGGCAAAACCTCTCATGACTGTGCCTAACTTCCCATTAATTTACAGCTGAGGATTCTTTACAGCTCACTCCACTAAAATGTACTATGACAAATAAAACAAAGACAAAACTTGGTCACAACACTGTAGGAAATGCAGCGCTTCACATTTCTTGCAAAAAATTCTAATGGAATATATTAACTCTTGAATCTACTCTGATATGAATGTTTCTACATACCGATGCATCCAACTGTTCAGCTTTCAGGCTGGTCTTTTTTACAGTCTATTTACACTTACAAAAGTAATATATATGCAAATAGTTGCTAACTTGTATAGTACAGTGTACATAACATTTGGGAGAACCAAATGATCTCTAATAAGTGAGAAAATACTACAAATTTATCATACTGATTGAAACATCCAGTGAGCAATTTTTTGTTTGCTTTTTGGTACCCTCCTCCCCCCACCCAAGTTAGAACAGCGCGAATGAGTTATGCCAGCAAGCAAGACTTATGCTATTCATAACAAGCACCAATCACATAGTGTAATAATTAATTCCAATGAGAGAACAAGTGAAAATTTAATTTACTTAGCATCATATTCTGATTATTTTCTAGTTCTGCCTATGAGAATAGTTAAAGATTTTCCAGACAAATGAGATTTTCCCCTCAGTTCAGGAGTATATACCAAGAACTACAGGAAGTCGTGCTTTGCTTTCCTCTAGAATTACTTGAGCATTATCACATATCCTTCTGCAGAAATGATGGGCCTAACTACTTCATTTTAAGTTTTGAAAGCAAAATAAAACTACTTACAACAACAACAACAAAAAAAAACCCAGCAGCTTTTTCAGTAAACATTTAGAAGTCAGCTTCTTCTGTCCTCCTCTTAACAGATCTCCAAAGTAATTAAATTCTCTGATCAAAAATCCTTCAGTAGACAGTCACTGCTGTAGTATTAACAATCTCACAAATATAAAAAACCCAAAATAATTGAAAAACAAAAATGTGAAGATGCTAAGTCAAAATTGGATTTTTATGTAAATATGCAGGCATATGCCCACATATGTAAGTTAGGACTATGAATTAATATACACACATGTGTACACATGTATATAGCTTACAACTCTAAATTCATAGACAATGCAGTTATGAATTTCTGGGGACTTTAACACATACAATATACAACCAAACTGAAAAGAATCAGGGCATAAAAAGACACGTTATGGCTGATTGAGTTGGTTAAGAATTAGTAATCACTAGCTGTTGTTCATTGAGCTGTGAGAGACATCATGCAAACACATTCATAGTCCATTTCAACACAAAATCATAGCTCAAGATGGCTTAAATTAAGTGGCATCATTTTGCAGTGAAACAGACTTAGAGCACATACACAGTCCCCACGCCATCTGCACCACCAGCAGCCTCCAGAAGAGGTGCGGGAAGTACCGAATCTGGCAGCCAGAACTGCGAGAGCTTTGCATCTTTCTCCTCTCAACAAGTGACCTCAACTCTTTCTGTGCACTCAGTATCACAGAGGGTGTCCCCCTGGGTGTCTTCCCCTCCCAATATTGTGCTTTCATTTGAATTCAGCTTTAGTCTTTCTCTAGTTCCTACTCTGAAAACATTCATAGGTTGACTGAACTCCTGGCTCTGTCATGCATCCTCTCAAGTCACCTCCTAGGATTAATGAGAAAATATTGCTTAAAATCATATCATTATTTTAAGAACACCTTGAGCATTTCATATCCTCCATATTGAAGTTTTTAAGAGTGCGTGGTAACTCTCACACAAATGTTCCCTAAGCTACAGTTTTAACCAGAAGGATACCATGCAGAGGTGGTAAATTCCATCACAGAAATAAAGGTTATTCATGAATCACTTAGAAAACTTAACTTCTACCAAGCACTTTAGGTTAATTACAAGAACTTTTCTTTGGTTTTGTTTGTTTTGTGGTGTTTTTTTTAATATAGGAGTAAGACATCCAACACAATAATTAACTCAGGAAAAAAGAAAAAAAACATCCAACAACCAAAAAACCCAAGTCAACACAAAAGAACCCAAACTCTTCTAAAGAATCTAACCAAAATGTTATCCAGGAGAAAGAGAATGATAAGTTTATGAATTCAACACAAATATTTAAAAAGTTATTATTTAAATCTAACATAAATGTTAGAACTTTGCAATACAGAAACTGGTATGCTTACCTAGCATACGAATGTACAACGCAGTTTGATCTGAGCTGTCATAGGAAATTGCTCCACGTCTCTGCAAAAAGAGAAAGCATATTTTATGTAAGTTAGAAATAAATAATTTTTAAATTGAAGTGAAAATATTAGTTGACCATTTCCAATTTAACTCTCAAAATTAATTTTAGAAATCTTGCATTTTCCATGAAAAATGCATCTTTCAAATACATATATGTCTACTGATTTTGATTTAAGTAGGGACAAAGGAAGGACAAGAATTGGTAGTGAAAAGATTATGAAAAACAGGGCCAGAGTGTTGAAAAAAAAATACCCTCATAAATTTCTTTTCAGATGTTCCTCAATCATTCCTCACAATAAAAAAAAGACATAGAACAAGATTACACAGACACAAAAAAATGCTTCTTACAACCTTCTAGAGCGTCATACTTGAAAAAAATACTTGCAGCTCCTGGTTTATTTATTTACTTTTGCCTATGGGATACTTTCATCTTTCAAATGTAAAAGTAGTTTTAAAAGAAGTAAAAGAAATCAAATGACACCATAACTGCAGTCCTAGGCTGCCACACTGCTTTCTGTAGGCAAATCAAGGTACCACTGAAGCAAGAATACATAAAGATATTTCAGAGAAAACAAGCAAGCAGTATTTCATATTTTATGATAAAAGTCTAAAAGAGTCATCAAGTAATCGATGCACGACATCAAGATACTCCCACATAAACTGTATTTCTTACCTACATAAGACGTGTTTCATACCTATTCAGCTAATGGGATAGTTATAATCTGGGAAGTCTCACAGGTGGTGGTGAAGTGGTCCTCTAACAGCTAAAAACTGGAGGAATGTTCTCATTGCTACACAACAGTGGCACCACGTAGTCTTCAAAGCTTGGCTTGACCTAGCACCCAGCCTTTACTTTACCCAGCATCCTGCCTTTACTGTGCTTCAACCATCTTCTGCCACTTCCTAGGGTCTTCTTAATGTTATTTCTTAACCCTGGGATTAGAGGATCACTTTCACAATCAGGCTGTCATTTCAAGAAATAAGATTTTTTGGGGAGAGGCGGGGGAGTGGTGCACATTAGAAACTCCTATGACCTTCCCCTGTCCACTACAGTTCTTTCGTACACTGAGGACAGTGAAGTCCTCAGTGCTGTGAAGACTCATCAGACCCCTTTGAGAACTTCACATAAAAGTCAGCCTGGCGGTGAACACAAGCACCCATTTTTTCATCAGTGCAGCAGGAGCAATGTTATACCAGGGACACACAACAGCCTGAAAATGTGCAAGCTCAAAAGACAAGAAACCAAATCATGTTCCAAAACAGGAGAGGAAAAACCAGATATTGGTTATTGAAAATAATTGTAAAAGAAAGAAGATGAAATAAAGAAAAAATTTTTGGAAGGTGGAAAAGGCAGAACTGCTTATGTGCATCTATCTATCAGAACAAACTGAATGAACACAAAGAAAGACTAGAGATTAATAACCTCTATCACAGTGATTTGTACAAATGATGTGCTAAGACTCCAAACTCCTTAGTTACACTTAATTTTTTTAAATATTTTTCATGCTAAAACAACAAAGAAAACCTCACACTTGAAGTCAGAGAAGTTTTTCCAAAAGTAAGCTTAATATTTAATTACAGAAATTACCCAGGACTTAACTCCAAATGGGGTCCAATGATAATAGCTGTTGTAAAGACTACAACAAAGAACTATACAGCACTTCTTTGTTGTCTCAGCTTTTGTTCTGTATTTCCTTGGAGGATCACAAACCATGCAAATAATTTTTCAAAGTATGTTTGTACAGCATTTCTCAAAGCAGTGTGCTTGTCCTGATAGGAAAGGCAGAAATGCAACTTGTCAGCTAGAAAATTGTGCAGATTTCCCACCAACATTTTCAAATTTCTTCATATAACCTACCTACCTTTGAGTTTTAGCAAATCTCAGTTGAATACATTTCCAGTAGCCTGGACCATTTCATGTCATTGACTAGGCACAATCAGTGATGTAATTTAGTGCTAACTTGCAATTTGCACCTGTCTATCACAGATTTCTAGACATGTCCAGTACAGTTCTGTAATCTAATACAGGAGAAAGCTAAGCACACATGCAGCTTCAAGACCCATGCCCAACTGGAGCATTAGTCTCCAAGAAGGAAAACAATATGCAAAAATTTACTGAAATTCAATCCTTTTCATACGTTGATTCTAAAATATTACTTGCTGTCTAAAATCTAAAATATTTTGCTAGATAAAGCAGTATAAAGTAGTACATCCATGTATGATATCAAACACAAAGTACATTTTTAAGAACATAAAGTAGTTGCTTATATAGACAAGTGATTTTGTTCTGCAAGGACCTTGAAAGATCTCACAGAAATCTTTGAACAATCAAATCTTTTAAAATTACCTTTCAAAGTTTGATTTCCTAAGGAAAAAGAGACTATTTATTGTGTAAACTTCACTAGTAATACTTCACAAATAGTAGGACATTTTCAGGTAGTTTTGTAAAACTGTAGAGGTCCTAAAGATATTTTATTCATTGAAATTTGTTAAATAAAATATATAAGAGGAAAAAACTTATTAGCAAGTTTCACCAACAGAAAAAGGGTGGGTGGTGAACAGTCAGACCTCTTACCTTTAGACCAGGCAATTAAGTGAGATAGGAGCACTATGGGGGGCAGTCAGAGACAAAGGATGGAACTAATGGTAGAGAGGTTTTTTAGCTACTTGTGACAGGTAAGTAAATTAAATAATACTGCACTCATCCAGAAATGGATTGCTTTATGTCAGCTTATGCTGCAAATAGGTAACAGACTATCTACCGCAGGTTGAAGTGTATCACCTATTTTTCCATTTCAAATAAAACTGCCCGTGTATTTGTTATATTACACCCTACACTACTCTAGAAAAATGCAAGGAAAAAGGACCAAAAAGAGAGAAGTAATTTAATCTATCCTGTGGGTTGTTCTTGAAGATGCACTGCCCAGATGCCACTATTTAAATCCAGCAAACAGAAAGACCAGATTTAAAGCATCAGCTTCTACTGAGATGTGAACTGATACATGAGGCAAATTCATAAGCAGGAAGGCAAATGTATCTTCAAGAACTGAAGTTACTGTAAAGCACTCTACAGTTCAAACAATATAATTACCAGGATTTTACCCTTGTCGATGACCAGAAATGTCGCCCTCCTCATTGCTAATCACAGGCCCACTTTCTGTAGCCTACACCCAGACTATACTTAACTTAAACTTACAACAAGACTATACCTAAGCTAAAAATGTACCTTACTGACACAGTTGAGATGACCATAGCAAACACTGTATTACCCTAGGGAAATAGGCTAAAATCTTCATGGACTAAGACTGACTTCTGGCACTTCAAAATATCATGTTATTGTTAATATTTTTAACTCATTTAGCATAAAATTTTATTTCTAAATCTCTGCCACCTCTTTGGTCTACCTGAAGCTTTGTACCTGTTAATAATAATATTGATCCTCTGTACAAACATCAAACAAATAAGCATCATTCCAATAGGCAGACAGAATTACTAGCGTTCAAAGTTAAGACAATCCTAATGTGTTTAGGTAGGTTCCCTTTTCAAGCACAAGGACAACTTTGGTCAGTTGGAATGTTTTCTGGACTCCAAATGATTCAACAAATTCCTCAAATGATTAGGTGAGGTTCTGAACTGCTCTCCTCCTTACAGACATGAGCACAGCCATCTGAACTGGGTAGGCTGTTTGGCTTCAGCAGTGAAGACGGATGTCAGAAAGATGACTGCGAAGAATTGTTTATGCTGGACTTCCATTTTGAAAACCTCACCTTAAACTTCAGTTTCATATTAGGGTGTCACTTATTCTTCCAAAGGGCAATACAGTAAAAAAGCTTTCACTTCTCTTCTCTTTTGTGACATATTTGTGGAAAGTGAATGAAAGAAGTTCAAACTAAAGTGGGAGATTCACTAATCTTTAAGAATAACAATGATACAAGGACTCTGCAAAAATATGCAAAGGAAGTATCTACCAGAATTTAGATTTAAGTCAGATCTTTCTGAACATCTTTTCATAGAGTGTAGGAAGTTATTAAAGGCCACGCAATGGGAACTACATGCCAAAATAGCACACAGATACATCTTCAAAGGGAAACCGCTGCAGTGATGCTAGGGAGTACAGCATATACATGTATCACTTGGAAACGGAGCACCTGCTGCTGTTTGTGCCAAACAGAAACGTTTCCATTGATGTATCAGTTTTATCACATGGACTTCCCAAACTTGTTCAGAACAGCCAGGCACTTCATTTTGGCAAGTGTCAGCTAGCCAGCTTTTGGACTGTCAAGTGAAACAACTGCTGGTCTCATTCTGCAACAAAACCTGGTAGAGCTGTTGGCCTTCAAAATTCAGAACTGCCCATGAGAAAGAACCATCTGAGTTTTTTGATAGTGAACACAACCCCCATTTTGTGACACAGTTGCTTACTCAGAAGCTGGGAAAGAAAAGACAGAGGACAGAGTGCAACACAGCCAGGCAGGGGTTTTTACCTACTTGGCTTTTCTGCCCAAGTTCTTTGCCCAGCTATTAGAGGATTGTTCTCGACCGCTCTATCAGTTTGGAGAAGAACTTACCAGTTCTCCAAACTGAACAAGTTTGGAGAAGTTGTTATATCATGGCAATTGCAATTTACTGATGATGCTGCCTCAAACATTCACACTTAAAAATTATTTAAGATCATAAGACAGTTTATCAACTAGAAGTTCCTAGAATTACAAACTAATTAGACCTTATTTCTCCAACTAGCATTGGATTTCAAAAGCAAGACTGTCATGTATGATAATTCTTAGAATTATTTCAAGTAATTAAAAGTTACATGCTAACATGAAATCCATAGTTTTCCACACGGCACCAACAAGTTTTTACTCACTAAAGTATTGGAAAATGTTCAACTGAAGCACTTAAACTGCCACTGAACTCAGGTAAGTCACTGCAAAATGGTCCTATTACTGTTACCTAAATATTTCACTGGAGTTCAAAGAAGTACTTTTAAAGTTTATCAAACC